ACCTATACCTATCAGAAAACCCACCTCCAGGTTTCTCATATTAAACATACATTTCTGAAAAAAAAAACCTGCAACAGTTTTACTAATCTTTCACGTCAGACAAGAAATCACTTTGAGCTGGGTACAGGGTCCAGCCCTCCTCACACCTTGCCCGTGCAACCCTTTAAGCCACACTCTTCAGTGCAGCATAAGGTTTCTCAGTCACAGCATTAAACTGCTTCAGACAGGTAATCTTAGGAAGTTGTCTTCTATTCCTTAGTTAACAAGGTAAACACAGGGAGAAGGAAAAAAATCTTTAAAAAGAGAGGTTTCGCGCTGCCAGCCATACCTTCTTCCCTCCCCCGCCCCCAACAGAAAAGACGTGGCAGCATGAGCTTTAGTTTCTCCAAAAGACAGTAAGTCAGCACTAAATAGACACTGACATAGACATATAGACATTTTATATCTACATCAAGGCAGAGATTTTCACTTTGAGGCAGCTGCAGCAGCCAACACCTTTAGCCATGACAGCATCCAGGGGAAACAACTTCCTCCACAGCTTACTCACCCACAAAAAAAAATCTTGCCACGTCAAACTTCCCACAGACAGTATAAACAGAGGTTGTGCTGAAAAGAGACAGGAACTCAAGCCATAAGCAAAATAATACAAGTTTATCAAAGACAGTTCCAGATTCTATTTAACATTGAGGATATTTAATTCGTTCTCAAGATATGTATAATTACCAACACACAATGAAAACAGTTTGGAGGCAACACCCAAAATACCAACAGAAACAGATCACCTATGGTTTCAGTGATCAGGTTCTAACAAAAGACATACAGATTCACCCTGGAAATTGCGAAAATGCGAAAGATCAGAGGATCTGCTAAACCCAGATTTTTCCCTGGGTTTGTTTAATACAAGTGTCACTACATAGAAGGATATGAAAACTTTTTGCTCCCTGTCTCTTTTAATGCTAGTTTACCTCACAGCCCATATAGCCTGAGGAACAACACTGACACAAGCATTTCTCCATAATTTCATTTACTGCTATTCCAGAATAGGTTGTCATTTTTTCCCCCCACAAGACTGCTGTACCTATGCAATGCTCTACTGCACTGATATCTCTGTGAAGATGTAGAACCCAACAATGTGCAGGCAGAAGTAGGATAACAGAATAAAAAAGAAAGGATCATGTTCTTGGCTAACTGAAGGTGAACTATTAGATTTACAGTTCTCCAGAGACACTGTGCTTGCTAACATGTCATCAAGAAGAGATGCTGTTCCTCCCCAAGGCATGCTGCAATCTCAATTTGGCAAATAATCTTTGGGGTGTGTGCCTGTACCTACACACAGACATATACGTGGAATGCAACATAGCTCCACACGTTACATTTCGCTTTTTTTTTTTTTAACAACACATTTTGGAATAAGCCACGAAAGCATATACTTAAATTTACCCCAATTCAGCCCAAAACCTGCGAACACTTCGCCTTCCTACCCTCACTAACTATGAATTTTAAGTCGCTGTAACACCGCCACAGGTGTTACCGGTCGG